CGGACCAATCAGGATTCGAACCCATGACAACCAGTTGCTCATACCGCCAGTCAGCAGCTCATGCCCTCCATCCCTCCTGTCATTTCAGTATGTTTCCATACTTTTTTCATGGTTGACTCCGAATGAGCAGATCTCCTGAGGTGAAAGGTTGAAGCTACTAAGCTAATCAGTATCCCCACACAAGGCGACTGCCAGAGACTCACGAGCGAGTACTGAACGTGTCTCGTCCGAAAAAGCCAAATGATGGAACTGGTTGAATGGCTTGAGTGCCTATGCTGTATAAATGCAATAACAGCCTTAATGATGTGTTAGAGAGATGAAAGCTTACTTGCTTTTAAACAACAGCGGCACACGGCCAGATGGTGCTATGAAGTGCGAAAAAAAGCTTTCGAGTGACTACGCCGCATTACTTCATTTGAAAGTGTTGTTAGATTATTACTTATCTTGCTAACAGCTTCTTCGTTTGCCATTGAATAAACTGATCGATCACTTAAAAAAGATGTTTGGGAACTACTTAAACAACTCGAAGAAGTAACTGTACTATGCGATCCCTATGTAGAAATTGACTAGACCACTTACTGGATCATATCTCGCCATGTCGAGAAACATACCGGTCCTTAATTTAGATCATTGATGCCCATTGAACCGTCGGTCAGATATAAAACAGATTACCACCATCTGTGCTCGGCGACTCCGTAACGTATAAATGGAGCCAAGTATAGGACAGTAGAAATGCCAAACTCGGATTGCCGCATCTATTGCCTCAACGGAAACACCTGGATAAACTCTTTTAACCTTGAGCCGTTTCTCAGGGGGTATTTCAATGAAGTGTCTTTGAGAGGTCGAGCAATGTGCTAACGATATACGCAAACGAATAAATACGGACCACGTAGATAAGCACGCACGAGACAAATACAACCCGTCCACAATGAAAACACAGAAACATCGTGACTCAATTGGAAAGTAATGTGCTAACGAGATAGTAGAGAGAACAACATACGTGTATGAAAATATGCGGACGCGTGTGGTAACCGCAGTAAAGAAGGTAGAGCGACCAGAATGAAATATAGTCCTGCTCACGATAAAGCGGAAGAGGAGAAGTTGACTAAACAAGTTAGAGACACTCGTTCGGAAGGCGTTCAAATATGTCTGAAAGTACACGCACACAGTAAAGTGCAACAACTAGTGGTGATTATTCGAAAAAGTGCGATTAACACATGGGGCTACATAGGTTAGGCAAGACTATAGCTGTAAATAAATCCCACTAGTTGATCTAACAACTGTAGAATCGGATTGTGGACATGACCTAATGAGCCAACAAGCTAGTGGTTGGTGTGTGGTTTACAGATCAAGCATGGCACGTGTGCCGCGACTCGGGCATAAGGAACGGGAGAGCCCACGTTTCGAACGACGACTTAGTGTAAATAGGACTGTAGTTCAGACAACAGAACATTTTTGATCGGAAAAGTTGGGAGTTAGCTGAATAAGACAGAACTTATCATGAAATACGGGAAAGTACCGGGTGCGACTCGAACCTAAATATGCTCTTTCAATCCAATGTTCACGAGATACCTGTTGACGAACAAGGAGTGGCAGCAATTTGATTGCTTAAATCCCGATGTTTTCTTGCAAAACTGGGAACATGAACAAGTTATCCAAAAAGTAGAGAATGGCTCAAGGTAATCAACGAAGTGCTATATTATTATGACTGATGAACGAGATATTAGATATTCATGGTTTCGCGTATGAAACGGCACGAGAAACAAATCTGCAAAAGGACTAAAGACGACGAAATATTTGACCGTGGTGCGTCCGGGTGAAATTCAAAAGAACTTAAAGAATACAAAGAATGTAGTAAGCCCAAAGGGGTTTGGAGTTAAAAAGTTGCAAATAACATGTGAACAAAGAGAACAACGCATCCAACGGGATAAAATCCTACGGAAGACTTTGTCTAGAGATGGGAAACAGCATCACAGTTTAGACACAGCATATGGAAGGTAAATGCATAGCTCCTGCCACATGTGCAGCGACAAAGTAGTAACATAAGCTAGGCGGCTTCAGCTTCTGGGCTGATAACACCGGATGTTTGGGATAGGGATTACAATCAATATCCTGGCACACGGAGTGGCGACGGCGGAATGAAAGCGGAAAATGCGCGAGAACAATCACGTGGGTCCATGCATCCGTGAAGACGCGCACCTCACATAAGTGATGGGGAAGAAGCCCCGACGCCAAGGTTCGTGTTGAATGCATCCCTCCTGAAACGCAACCAGTAGTAGGTGTGGTGTGTGAGACAGATCGAGTGTTCAGAGAAGAGCAAACAATCGATGATATGGACTCGTAATGTGCAAAGGCATATTTTGGTGCATGAGAGATGAGAGTTGGGGCAGGTTCGCATAGCACCAGGCATGGAGCGGTAAAATGGCTTAGGATGAAAACCCGGGGGAATAAAACTAGAAAAAAACTGAATAGGCACTGGAATCAAAAAAAGAGAGCCGTGTTGTAAGTAGACCTAATCACAAGACGGAGGAGAGCATGGCTATCACGGTACTTTTTCAATTCGAAAAGCACTGGATTATTCTGATAGAGCTACATGATACCTTTCGTGACTTAAGTCACTGCGCGTACTGGTTTCGCCATGCGCATTGTCTATACCCAAGTGGCGGAGAACTGCTGCTTGTTATTAAGAGAAGCATCACGAGTTGTAACGCTAGAGAATAGAGTATAGCATTCGGACAGGTGGAGTGGACATACTCGGCTTACCAAAGAAGCATAAAATAACTAACGAAACCAGACTAAAGTAATTGGGCAGCCTATCCGTCGTTTTCCGCATCCACCGAAGCATTTGGGACACCCCAAAAGTACAAGTGTGAGGGAAGTTTAGTTCAACAAGCCGACCTAAAAAGGCTAAGAACCTCGTGAACAGAATTACAAGTAACATTCGTATATATATATATATATATATATATATATATATATATATATATATATATATATAAAACATGGCAACAGACAATGTGCCATCGAAAGCAGCACAAAAGGGGGGAAACGAGATAGAATAACAAAAGGAAATGAAATTCGAGTTTTACACACGTCATTTTGAGGTTTTGTGTTTCGGGGCTTCGGTGTTCGCTTAAACATTAGATAATACAGTTGCACACCACTGTCGCTACTGATGTCTGTTGCGTGCTATTACCTCCGGCGTTTCCAATCACTGGCAATCCGAGTCGCGTGGTCCCCATCCTGGAAGAAGGACCGGTCCGACGTTGCTAAACTTAGGTTGTTTTCTTCATGCTCCTTCTCTATCTACTTCATTCAAGGTCCAACACGGCACTTTTTGCAATCGCTTCCGAAGAGCGATAATAATGCTCGATGGGGAACGCGATAGGCTGGCATGCGTAATACGTGGCAGAATCAATGCATGCGGTGTCGGAGAATAATGTTTCGGAGGCTTGGGCTGTTTGCTTCAAGTACTCCGTCTCGGATTTCTGTGTTGCTTACGTGATTTCGTCACCACACACGAGCAATTCTACGCAGGCACCGACTGTTGAAAACTGGCAATCGTTTCATGTCTTCCAAAAAGGGTCTCACATTAGTAAAAGAGGACCGCACAGACAGAAGCAATGTACACACTGCTCTTTAGCTTCAGGCAGACATCCAGACGACGGCATAGGTGTCTCAGTATGATGAATGCAAAGCGGGCCTTTGCAATCCGTTATGAGACCCCATCTCCAACAAAGCCGATAGTCGTGATGCAACTCTACATATAAGTGAGGCAGGGGACTTGTTCCAGGTCGTCACCAGCAACCGTGAAGGCAGGCACAAGCGTCTGCCATTCCTGGAGTAGTATTAAACATTTGCCAGGGATGAAATACAGGCCATACATAGACGCCTCTATCGCTAAGCGGTTCAAAGCGCTCTGGACAGCATGTGGATTGTCCCCAGGCAAAGCGATAACATCGGTGTAGTCCAAGTCTGCGATTCAGTCACTCGAGAAAAGCACAATACCGCAGTTTATGATGACTTCCAATGAGTGTTGAAAGCCATCGTCAATGTCGATGTTGAAAAGGAAAAATAAGGCAAGCTTGGTGAACGCGGCTGGTGATTGCAATCGGAAAGGAAAGCCTGTGGTAAGTCTAGATTTTGACTGACGAGTGGGTGGTTACAAGTTATCGGACACACCTTTCCTTAGTAGCTAGTTCAACAACGCAGATCTAGCTAGTGAGTCAAATGCCGCTCGGATATCCAAGAACACTACCATTGTTGGCCGTCAGTGGACGTGACGGAGTTCAAGAAGTTGGCGAAGTGTAAAGATTTGATTGATGCAACTTCGGATGAATAAGAATGGTGGAACAGAGGCGACTGCAACAAATCCTTCAACCAAGCCTGTGGAACATGAGGACGCGTGACCAAGCATGAAGAAGTTGCGACGTGCTAGTGGATAGTATGGAACTGAAATTGCGAGCAGCGCGGAGAAAGACACAGGTAGTATATTGCAGAAAAAACACGGGAGGGATAAGTCAAATCTAAGGAGTGAGGTAGATCTGCTTATCTGAACAGCTCAACTATAAGTCAGAGTCCGATCAATTATGGAGCATTTTGATCCTAGCTTTAAAAACGGAATCCAACCACGGGGGTCACCTTGTTTTGATAAGGGCAAACAATGCGGCAAAAGTTACCTTAGGTGGAACAACAGAACACGCTTATCGTACTCCGTTCACTACCACTGCATACAATCAAGTCGCAAAGGGGTAGAGTGCCCAACTGACATCCCAATGATCACGGATCAAGGCCTGTTATAACTAGCAGATGAGGGAAAATGAGGTCGAAACGCGTGTTTGCGGACGGGTAACACCCAATTTTCTTCAGCTTCAGCTACGGTCCTAATGCCATCGCAAAGAGACCGGACCTTAACGTGGTGCGACAGTTTGCGTACCTCACTGACCCATTCAGTTATACTGAGTGATGCCTCCGGGCACCTTGAGAGCTACTCCTACCAGGTTGATCAATGGCGAGAGGTCAGACAAACTCAGTCTCCTGGTCCTCCAAGTTGAGGATCTGAAATGGGATGGCGTCCATTTCTGTAAAACTAAATCACTGCCACCTCCCCGCTGCCTTGCGGAGAGGCTTTGGATGAGGACCCTAATCGTCCTCCTGTCTAGGTCTGGGCACCCTGGTAGTAAATCAGCCCACATACAAACATGGCATTTTCTTCAATCATAAACTACATCCTGCATCGGCCGTCGCGCACATTATCACAGGTCGCCTTATCTGCTGCATACAGCAGGCGGATAAGTGAAAACATGCTACTTCTGGCGCCCCCAGTCTATTTCACCTGTTTCTCTTACTCCCATCCCGGCCCCTATTACTAACCTTCCTTCTATAATTCCCAGCTTAATTGACAGCAACCGAAGTGCCACTGGAGTAGAACCTTCTGCAACCACCATCCCACAGCACCTATCGGCAAAAGTCCCTTATAAGGCCGCGTTGTCGTGTTTCCTTGGCGACGTTCAACGTTCGTACTCTAAGACAAGTAGGTCAACAAGCTGCACTCGCATGCACTTTGGACACACTGGGTATTGATGTGTGTTGTGTGTCCGAAACTAGGATCAATGACCCTAACGGGGTTGTTGAATTAACTGCATGCGGCTTAACCTCTCCTTATTGGTTGCACGCATCCGGTGACGCCGACGCAGCACTCATGCATGGAGCTGGTGTAGGTATCATTCTAAGCTCCAAGGCTGATCCATCGTTGGTTGATTGAATTCCGGTGAACAGCCGTTTATGTGCAGCCCGTTTGAAGACATTAGCTAAGGTGAATTCACGAAGTAATACAAAACGCTGCTTGTGATTTTCGCTTATGCTCCCACCGACTGCGGTTCTAATGCTGTCAAGGACACATTCTATCACGAACTGAACGCAATACTACGCAGTGCTACGAGTTCAGATATGATAGTACTTGCAGGGGATATGAACGCACAAGTAAAACGTCTGAGCTCTTCAGAAGCTCAGCTGGGTGGTAATTATGGACTTAACTCCGAACGGACTGACAACGGTGAGCGTCTGCTGCAACTGTGTGCGGAGCACCAATTGTTTCTTAGTAGCACTGCTTTTAGACACAGTGGGCGCCGAAGTACCACTTGGCGTCCTCCTGTAGCTGGCCAGCGATGGACCCAAATTGACCACATAGCCATAAGTTACAGATGGCGTGGTTCCATCCTGGACTGCTCCTCGTACTGGATTACCTGTGTCGACTCAGATCATGCCTTGGTACGCTGTCGTTTCTCCATGAACTTTACCGGGAGGCGCACCGAGCGTCTCCACCAATTGGCAACTGAGAAATTGTCTCAGCCCTCGGTCAGGCAAGCCTATAAAGACGTACTGCGTACAGAAGTTTTGCTGTCTGTTCTAATGACACTGAGCTTCAGTGGAATAGGATCTCGGTCTCCATGCACGACGCAGAAGCATCTGCTTGTGGCACTATTCATCGTCACCGCACCAGTCACTGGATATCCGAGAGGTCGGTGAACCTGTTGGAATCTAGAAAAAACCTCCCGGCTAGCTCTGAACACTATGTGACCAGACGGGCTATTAGGCGTGAACTAAAGCAGGGGTAACCTGCTGACAAGGAAGCCTGGTGGACCAGTAGGGTTCAAAAATTGGAGAACGCAGGAGCAGTAGGCAATTACCACAAGCTCTTCCAGCTGATCCGAACCACTGGTCCAAGGAAACCAGGCGTCAGTGAGACAATCAGAGACAGCGCGGGTGCACTGATACACAAAAAGGAGCATCTTATGCCTCGTTGGACAGAACACTTTCAAGATCAGTTAAGATGGCCCTCTGTTCCTGGACCGCTTCCTACTCAGGTGATGCAGGGCGAGCCATGGAGGGTTAGTTTAGAGCCTCAGTCGGAGGCCGAGGTCCGAAATGCGATCACAACCCTCAATCGTTTTCGTGCCGCTGGTCCGCATTCCCTTCCACATGCACCATTTAAGGATGGAGGTGAGGTCCACTGAAAAGCACTGACCTCTCTATTCGAACATATCTGGAAGGAAGTGTCTCTCCTAATCGGAGTGAGTCGATTATAGTGGCAATATACAAGAAGGGCAGTCGCTTAGAATGTTCTAACCACATGGGTATTAGCCTAACGCTAGTTGTGACAAACGTACTGGCCTCGCTTCGCGTTCGTCGTCTCACTGGGGAATGGGGATCTCGGATTAGGGAAGAGTAGGCCGGTATCCACCCAGAACGTGGCTGTATAGACCATATATGTCACTTTGCGGCAGGTGCTAAAGCAGCGCCACGTCTACCGCAGACCGACAACAGCTGTGTTCCTCGATTTCAAGAGTGCGTTCGATTCAGTCGATCGATCGATTCTGTTCGAAATACTTGCGCGGAAAGGTATTCCCACGAAATATGTGAACATCCTTCGTGCTCTATACTCGAACACTACAGGTCGTGTCAGGGTCTACGGTGTCCTAGCGGATAGCTTTCCGATCACAAGTGGCGTTCGTCAGGGTTGTCAGATTTCCCCATTTTTGTTCAATTTCGTCGTAGATTCGATCAAGGAGTGTTCCCTTGCGGAATCTCACGATGTAGGCGTTGAAGTGTTGCCTAATGAAAGCGTAGTTGACCTAGATTATGCAGACGATATCGTGTTGCCTTTCGACTATGTTGCGACGGCACACTAAACCCTGAATAGCCTGTCCAGAGTGGTCCCATTATTTGGTATACACTTCGCACATTCCAAGTGCAGAGTTGCTGCAGGGCCACCAGCCACTTGATGACCCCTTGACGCTTGCTAACGAGGAACTCGAGGTGGTTGATCAATACACTTATCTTGGCAGCTGCATCAGCAATGAGGGGCGCATAGAAACTGATGTCAGTTCACGCATTGCAAAGGCCAGAGCTGCCTTCTTGAACTTGCGGCAACTTTGGCGACAGAAGGGAATTTCCCTCCGTCTGAAAGGCCGTGTATACAAGGCCACAGTGAGGGCCGTTCTGCTCTATGGTAGTGAGACTTGGCCCCTTCGGTCTGAAGATCTGAGGCGCTTTCAAGTCTTTGATCATCGTTGTCTGCGAAGCACTGCTGGTGTCGGATGGCACCAGCGTGTCCGCATCGATGAAGTGCGTAGACGAGTACTTGGTAGTGATAAACATGTAAGCTCCCTAGAACAACAGTTGGCACTGAATAAGTTGCGTTGGCTCGGGCACGTGCTACGTATGCCAGATCACCGCTCACCGAGGAAGGCCTTGTCTAGTCTGCCAGGTGTAGGGTGGCGCTAGGCTCAACATGGACAGAAGTTGACTTAGCAACGGGAAATGAAGTCACTGACTACCAAACTGGGTGCCCTTGGTCCGTATCACCTTCCAGGCTGGAGTCCACGTGATTCGCATTCTGCTTGGCTCGAGACTTTACAGGGCATGGCTCGCAACCGACACCAGTGGCGCGCCTGCTGCCATCTCCTAATCGGAGTGCCTGCTTAAAGTGTGTTTGGTGCTGAGTTATTTGCGGGGTAACGGCTGATTATGAGGCGCGGCAGTGAAAGCCGCAAGCAAGCTGTCTCGCCGATGCCGCCTTACCTTTTTATGATAGCCAGCTGTTTGTGACGGTATGTTGTCTACACAAGGTGTAGGCGTTTTAATCCTGAATGTTTGATTAGGGCATTAAGGTTTTCAGTCCCCATTCTCTCCCTCTTCTTATTCTTTATTTCATAGGTCCTCATGGTTGTATGACAGGGAAGCATCATTTCAAATGGCTGATGTACTGCTGTTGATGATGATGATGATGACGGTTCTAATGCCCGTAATGACCAAGGTTCACTTCAATGAGAATCATGGTCCACATAGAGATTCCGCGTCCGCAATCTAGTCACATGACGAACACTACAAAATGACCCTTCAAAGAACTATTTTTTCTTTCTTTTCAGAAACAAAAATACCAAATTATGAAGGATTTGCACCACAAGACAGAAGGAGACACACATAGTTTCACGAGAACAACAACAGTATAGGGGAACAAACAACAACATGAGTATTAAAACGTGAATTGGTAAGCGAAAAACTCAAATGATGGGAACAATGAATATTGCGATGGAAACGAATCAGATGTGATCGTGAGATGGAAAATGAGGATGATAATGATGGCTTGGGTATGGTGTAAGCAAAAGTGTTCGTGCTGGAAAACAGGATGGGTAAAACGATGGTGCGATGGACGTAGTGTGGCAGAACGAGACAATTAGGTAGGAATAGCTCACAAGGGATTGTTGCGAGAACATTCATCTTGAGTAAAGCAGAGATGAAGCGGGAAGAGGGATGGCAGAAGTTACGGGACACCAGGTAAATTTTAATCAGATATGTAAAGACATGGGTACATTGCAAAGATCGAGTTTTGTTTTGTTGAACGGTAATAGTGAACACGAGAGTTGTGCTGATGTAGTGTCGTTAAAAAACAAAAAAATCGAAGGTAGTAGGAAGAAAACTCTAGGAATAACCGGGTACAAGATATCTATGAAGCCGAGTCAGTAACTAACTGGACAACCGATGCGTCGCGAAATTCCATGAAAGCACTACACACCATATAACCTAACACAAGCAACAATGTGACAGGTGCGGGGAAAATGATGGTCGTAGAGGAATAATGGAACAATGGTGTATTACGGGCAAAAAAGCTATGCTTAACAAGTCTCGTTGGATGAAAATTATTACGATAAGAAAATTTCATGATAAAGTGAAAAGCGTTTTGGTGGACTCACCATAGACTTATGTAGAATAGTGAAGATGTTCGTGTATTAAAAGTATAAAACTATAAATCCATCGGTTGGGACTGTGGTAAGACACCGTTTGATTGCGTTTCGTAGCCCCCTGACTAACAAGTTATAAAATGAAATGCAAATGAGACAACGCATCGTCAACTCGTTTTTTAAATATCGCTAGCTTGGGAGCAGAGACGACATAATTTGGGAGAGCGTTCCAAGGCTGGCACACGCGGAGGGAAAAGAACTTTCTACGGCATTCAAGCCAGCTATACTGTATTGCTAGTTTCGAAGGATGACCTCTTAGGTTAGTGTTGTGGTTCAATTCCAGCAACTGACGGCAAATGTGGTTTGGGTTCTTCAAAATCTGATAAGCCATCACATTTTCCGCAAAAGCCGATATCGACTGCTGTACATTCTTAGAGATTTCAGTCTAAGCTGATAAGGCAGACGAAAGAGGCCCATGACGTTCTTGGTTGCCTTGTGGAGTCTCGAGAGGAACGAGATCCTGTTTCTGCTACGCCTGAATAGCATATTCTACATGAGGTCGCACATTGGCGTTAAGCAATTGGGGAAAGATTGAGGGTTCAAACCGACCGAAGGCTCTGCGAAGCAAGCCGAAGGGATGATTGCCGGTTCTCGTCACCTTCTCTGCTTGTTTTGAACACCCGAGATCTTCCTGAGAGGCCTTCTCCAAGGTGTGGTCTCCAAGCTTGTAAGCATTCACCGGCTGGAGACGCAGATGTATCACCTTGCACTTAGCTATGCTCAACTGAAGCATGTTCCTCTTCGACCATTCATAAATGCAATCTAGGTCATGTTGGAGTATATCGTGATCTCCATTGTTACTAATCGCCCGCCAGATCTTGACGTCGTCGGCGAAAAGCAGGAAATTCGAGGAGATAACTCTTGGCAAGTCCTTGATAAACACCAGGAATAAGCGCGGTCCCAGTACTGAGCCTTATGGAACACCATCTTCTACCTCAGTGGGGTTAGAGAGTGATCCCCTAACGCGTACTTGAAGCTTCCGTTAGTGAGGAAAGTTGCCAATTCAGCCAAGAACAGGATCTCCGATTCCCTAGCTCTGTAGCCGGTTAAGTAGGATGTCGTGATTCAGGCGCTCGAAAGCTTTGGAGAAGTCCAGATAGATGACATCAACTCCGACCCTATCATCAGGCACTTCCGTCTAACTACCTCGTGCAGTCAGTAGTTTGGTGGTGTATGACCGGTGTTGACGGAAGCCATGCTGCTCGAGCACCAAGATGTTGCATTTTTTCAGGTAGTCCATTAGAGCCTCCGCGATGACCGCTTCCATCACCTTCGCGAGCACACGGATAAGAGTCACTGGGCGATAGTTTGCAGGCTCTCAACGACTACCGCCTTCAAAATTGAGGTGATAATGCCACGCTTTCACATAGTGGGGACTAGTTGTTAATCAAAGCACCTTTGGAAGAACTGTGACAGTGGTTCAGCTAACTTGTTGGTCGCAGCTTTCAGTCCCTCCTGGTGGATGTTGTCTGGTCCTGGAGAGCTATGATCGCGCAGTGAGAGTGACTTCTTTAGCACAATTGATGGGCTGAAAGTTACATGTGTAAACAATGGAGTCGGTAATGTGCAAGACATTATGGGACAGAGAGAAGCGCGAGTTCGAAAATTGTGGCTTATTGTAGCCACAGGGCATTAGTTGCTTCTTCGGCGCTTTGTACTTTACCGCCTGTAGAGAGAAGTGGAGGGATTCCATGCTTCACTTTACGAAGATTGTTGATATGCCTATACTGTATTTTATTGTTTGTCAGGAATTTTTTGGCTAGGCACTGTTGATAAGTTACTTTGTCCTCACGGACAAGTGCAGTGCAATGGTTGCGATGGGTCAGGAAATCGCCCCAAGTCTATGAGTCGGGGTTAATCTTGTAGGCACGCCATGCTGCATCCATTATCGTCAGAGATTTTCGAGTTCTGCTCTTTAGAATTGAAGGCATTTTTGTGGGACGAAGGCGCTTGGTCGCTGATGCTCTGTTGGCGATGTAGCTGAGTCTATCAACGAACTCTGTCCAAACGTTGTCAAGGGGAATTTTGTTCAATACTTCTAAAGTAGATGCTTTGACGAGTTCTTTCAATACGTGTTAGCGTGTGAGTGTATGAGTTAGTTCCGAGTGGATACTCTGAACGTTATTACTACATGGCCACTGAGACCTAATGGACTACCCAACAATAACTTGTTAACCATGAGCTCTTCATTAGTGAGCACAAGGTCCAATATGGACGGTTTGCCGTCCTGAATCTAATGCGCTAGGTGACATGTTTGTACAAGGGAATATTAGCGATCAGTTCATGCAAGTCTGCTTTGAACTGCTAGCTGGGTGATGCCGAAACCTCCAGATCGTGTAGATTGAAGTACCCGGAGATGAGAATGCGGCTGTACTCTGTTCAGGCAACGAAGCAAGAGGAAATCCATTTCCGGAGTGGACATTGGAGGGCGGTAAACGACAGCTACGCGACATGCGTCGTTGTGTCTTAGTCGGAAACGGCAACAGAGTGAGTCGGTAAGGTGAGTTTCCAGATCATCAACTAATGCACATTGCAGGTCGCTGCGGTAGTAGAGTAGGACCCCACCTCCTCTGCTGGGGCGGTTGTTCCGGATGAGTGACATTCCGGCTCTCAAACTCAAGATCAAACACATCTTCGTGTAACCAAGTTTCGGTAATAGAAACTAGGCCCCAAGCATCCGAAACCTGACGTAGCCGAAGTCCGGTAAGTTTCCTGAGGAGCCCTTGGGCGTTAGTGTACATACATGAAAGTTTCTCAGATCTAAGCAATGTTTCGGAGATGGTGCAATTCATACGTGAAGTTTCGCTGACAAATGAGTGGCCAGCTACTAATCGTTTCTTCGATATGTACTTGGAGAAAGGTTTAACGTCTTATTCATCGTCTGCGTAGTTAGTCCTGTATCTAATCTTCTACGTACAGCACAAGGTGTTTGGTCAATATCATTTGCGACAGATTGTATGGGCTCATTAAACATACTACTGGTGCACTGTTCTTTCATAGATCACATCGCGTTTGGCTCGTTGAGTGATATATTATCTCTAAGGGGCAAATCGCTGACTGTTTCAGGCCAAAGCTTAGATGGTAGCCTGCAACGAAACATATCTCAGCATTTTAGCAGCCGTGATACCAATGTTTCGACTGAAAGACCACGTTCAACACCCTCGGGCCACATGCATTGTAGTTCGGGGAGGTACGCAGCAGTGACACCGATATTGCCAGCACATCATTCAACCAGAGTGTTACACGAATATAACACCACTGTTCTTCATTATGAGTGGTTATTTCATGTCACCCGCATGCTTCAGTTTCAGGAACCGCGTGAAGAAGAATCGTTCTGGTTAAAGTTTCCTTCCGGTAGACTTCTAAGGTCCGGTTAATTCGATGTGGAAAGATATGGATGGAGCAGTGTTCATTTCTGAGTCTATCGGTCGATAGTAGAACTGATTATACTTCAGAGACGGAGTTCAGCACAACGCGCAGAAGTCTTGGCTCTACGTAGTGCTTAGAGTTGGGGTGCCGCATAATACGCACTACGTGTACAGGTTTCAGTACAACACCGAGTAGGTTACTATTAATGTCCCAATGGTTGAGGTCATTCAACTGCCTGCCTCTTATTGAGGTCGACCTCGATGCTGGGACATTGGAGCACAGTTCGCTCAGTACAAGTATTTGTTTCTTTGCATATTTCGGCATGTCGCGGTTAGTGATATAAACACTAGGGGGTGTACCGCAGGAAACCGGTGGTGCTTGCACCAGAAGAACTCCGCTTCGCTCCTCAGTTTCCGATCCAATTGGGGATGCTGTTAATTTTAAATGACGGCTTTTCTTGGAAGCAACCGTAACCCAACATTCGCTAGTATCGGCTTGTTATTTTTCTATGCACTCCGTCGGGAGATTGGAAGTAGCCTTACGTGTAGTTACTCCGATCGAACTGAGAACCGCATTAGTCAAATGTGAGCCACGTGTAGTATTGGAACAGCAGTTGATTCTCTGGACTACTTATGTCGTTTTGCCTACGGTGTTACTAGCCGTTCTCCTCGGGATAGGAGCAGCGCTTACTGGAGAGGGTTGAGTTGCACAGTACTCTATGCTTACCCCAACCGTGGTGATTTAGGTGGTCACCATTTCCGCAAAGTTGGCTAGTAGCTCGTCGTACTTCTGAGATAATAGCACGCTTCTTATCAGTGGGATAGAGGTGCATTCCACGCAGAACCATAGAGAGTCTGGTTTGTTCAATAACTTAGCCTGACTAGATTTAAGTCAAAACGTTTAACGCAAACGCGCACACTTACCCACCACTCGTCCTCTGAACGGGCCGTGAGCTGGATGATTTCGCCACGACGGAAAGTGAGCTCATCAGCGCGTCCGGCTTCACAGTCGTAGAGCGCCTCGAAAAGAGTGCCCAGCTCGCTAGGTACCAGGGGTGTTTCACTTTGAGCGGACCGTGGGTCGGCCACCGAAGCATTTGACTGTACACTATCGATATCTTGACTCGTAGGGGTTGATAAAGCTCTGGAAAGTTTCTTATTACCTTAAGATGTTGTGAGAAAAATGAAACATTAATGTGAGGTTGGGAGGAAGTGAAGAACTAAATTGTGAGTTTTCAGTGTTGCTCTTCCCAAAACTGACGCCAAATGACTGAGGTCTGCTTCAAAGTGAACCGAAATTTCAAGAAAGATTGCACGTCGCAATCCAACCACACAGCCGGTACTGTAAATCCAACTTTGAATACTTACAATTGCACCAAGCGTTGCATAGTGATCAAGGCGTCAGCCGAGTTCCACCCCAGCTCAGGCTATCTCCATCTGATGAGTCCAAACCAGGACGAAACCGGTCATAGAGTGTCAGTGTTGGGAGCAGCAACACTGAAACACCTCCATCTCAGATACGGTCCTGGTGGTCGGAATGACTGAGCTTTAGTTCAAAGTAAACCCGGGTCTCAATAGAGGTTGTATGTCGAAATCCAACCACACAGTAGGCACTCCAGACACAACTTTGAGTTAACTCTTTGCGTCCTGAATTAATTTACCTATAACTCGACATGAACCACAAAAGTTTACTCCACACATTGTAGAGCAAAGTATCGGAGTTCTGGCCCTTACTTAATTGTTGACATAAAGCTATTGTACATATCCTCGCGAGTACCGGTAGGAATGATGCTTGCTCTGAAGCTGTATTACAAGTTAAACAAAGCGGTACCCATAAATACCGCCACGACACAAATAGTTAACAGAGAGGTGATTGGTGAAGGCGTATAAAAGGGGTGTTAGAGTGTACGCATCTAAGGGGTTATGCAAAGTGTTCCACATGTTACATACCTAGAAGTGAAAATCTGGACGATCGTGGTGTTACCGGGAGCACGGGTTTCGTCTGTTTCGGGTCGGGAGAATCAATCCGGTCGACCGGTGAACTCTCCTGGGGGTTGGACTGAAAGAAGTGAAGCACAAATAGTTCAAGAGTTATCCATTGCAGCTGGCTCAAGTGATGTGAAATATCCTGGCTCGGAAACGCAAAATTTAAAGCTACGAAGCTGTGGAGTGCTGTGCGAATTGGAAAACAAGACAAAGACCAAAATACAGTGAGAGTAAAAAAGCGCGAATGAAGCAGATAAACGATGTACCACATAACCTACAGCAAAGCAATTATGAGAACAGACCGGCTATAATATCAACGACTACTCACTGCTGCGACCAGAAGTGAGTATTCAACGGAGGGCAGATGAACTGCAGCGATGGCCACCGGATTCTTTGAAGGCGTATGAGCCAGCTGGCTGTCAACGGCCTTCATGCTCTTCGGCGACTACGTCGGTCTAGGAAATTTCTCCTGGACTTCGTACTGCTTCACTCGGGCATCCTGAGTAGTTTGTTTCTATTCGAAAGCCGTGGTATCATCATGCTAGCCAGTCCCAACGGTATGCGATATACGTCAATCGCCCCGCTGCCTTGCGGGTCAGGTCTTTAGACCGAAGGTTGCGGGTGGAGTTCCTTAAGACAACCCTCTTCCTCGGTCAGGGTAACCGGGAACTACTACGCCCACATAACATATGGACCAAGCTTTCAAAGACTTCCTGCTCTCTCTCTCTCTCTGCTCTATGCCAACGCTTTCCTAGGCCGAGGTGCTGGCTAATGAACATTCTATATCGCGCTATACCGCATCACAGTTTGGGTACTTTATTCCACGTTTGTTCAATTCCGACATCCTTGGTAATCCCCCTCCGTTTCCGAGTCCACAACATGGTGCCGCTTGGGCGAGTGTTCTCGCCATGCGAATCAGGAATTAACGTCCCAGGGTGCTCCGCTAAGTAGTATCGGCAAACCTTTCCAAGCTGCCCGTTCCCAATTCAAGCTGGCAACTTTTAACGTCAGGACGCTGATGCAGATCGGACCACAAGCAGCCCTTGCTGGCACGCTTGAGACTACTGCCACTGATGTGTGATGACTCACTGAAACCCGATCACAAGACACCAGAACGACGCTACAACTGGTTTAGCCGTCTGCGAGTTCCACTGGCATTTTCACCTGGCGCTTACCTGGAGACGAAACCACTGAAGCCGCTGGTCTTGCCGGGGTGGAGATTGCGTTAAGCACACGTGCTGAAACCGCACTATTTGAGTGGATCCCTGTCAACAGTTGACTTTGCGCTATCCAACTTGAGCCTTCAGTGTGACTTTCTAGCCGTGGGGACAGCAGACGTTGCTTGTTCGTTGTAGCAGCATACGCTGCCACATACTGCAGTCAGGAGACAGGTAAAGACGAATTCTACTATCAACTGTCCGACCTTCTCCGAAAAAGCGCCGTAGAGACATTATGGTGTTTGTAGGGCTTAAACGCGCAGGTCGGTACACTTGAGGTTGAAGAACGTGAACTCAGTGGTCAACATGGTCATGGCACTCGCAGAACAGATAACGGTGATCGTCTACTTCAGCTTCGTACCTATCACGGGCTCTTCCTGTCAAGTCATAGCTTTCGGCGATCCTGGCGCCAATGTGCGACCTGGAGGCCTCCGTCAACTGGCCAGCTATGGACGCAGATTGATCACATCGCCATCAGTTATCACTGGCAGGGCAGCATACAGGATTGCAAATCAATCTGGAGTACGTAGCACACTTCTGACCACGTACTCGTTATGCCAAGATTGCTTTACGTCTTGGTGGTTCCCAATGGCGCCGCCGGAAACGACTGGACGTAGCCAAACTTGCTGTGCTAAACGTTCTCAGCGCGTTGCAGGATACGTTGGCCTCAAATCTCAAGAGCGCCTCATGCTCTGACGTTGAAACGCACTGGGCACACATCCGCAGCGCCATGGACAACTCTGCGACCCTGGTCTGTGGTTTCACCAGTAGTCCTGTCAATCACTGGATCTCTGCACGATCCCTCCAACTTCTCGAAGCTCGTCGGGCAATTCCAGCTGCTGTTGAGTATCGCTCACTATACAGGACCACTAACGCTGAGCTCAAACAGATCTACAGGAAGAACCGCGAGGCATGGGAGATGCACCGAGTCGTTGATATGGAGCAGGAAGCCAGCTCAGCGAATTTCCGGAAGCTTTTCCACCCGATCGATCCAGTGGCACAAAACGCCGACGGTAAGGGAAGTTTTATGCGAAACCAATGACGAGCGCATCCACCGCCAACGTCGACTAGTGCGTTGGGCTGAACACTTTGAGCAGCAGTTCAATTGACCTGCAGCAACGGTGATCTCTCATTCGGGAATCCGTAGTGCTCCCTGGTGTGTAGACGCTTCACCCCCATCTGACGCTGCTCATGAGCTTCGTCTCCTTAAGCACTGAAAAGCCGCTGGCCCGGAAGAAATTTCTCCGGCTCTTCTCCAAGATGGAGGTTCATCACTTGTTCGGGAGATAACTTCCTTACTCCAAAAGGTTTGGACCACCGCGGCAATCCCGTCAGATTGGAATCTCGCAGATATCGTGCCCGTCTTCAAAAAGTATGCCCGGACGGACTGCGCTAACTACCGAGGGATTAGTCTCATCTGCGTTGTCTCTAAAATGCCCGCCGCCCAGTTTTTAAGGTGGCGCAGTATGGTATGCGAACACAACATACGCGAGGAGCAAGCTGGGTTCCGCTCCGGCCAGAGTTGCATCGATCACAGCTTTACACTCAGCCAGATACTCCAGCGCCGTCAAACGTTCGGCCGGCCAACGATCGTTGTCTTCTTAGGCCTACTATCCGTGTTTAACTCAGTTGACCGAGCTGCTCTTTGGAGCAGTCTCTTGAAAAGGAGAGTGCCTGAGAAGTATGTCAACCTCCTTCGAGCCATCTACTGTCGAAACACGGGCCGAGTGCGGGTGTAAGGCGAACTTCCGTCGCCCTTTAGTATCACCAGTGGGCTACTCTGCATCATCCTTCCTGTTCAATTTCGCAATTGATGACATCTTGGAAAGCGCTCTGGAGCATTCGAACCCAGCGACGTTGAACAGCTTTCGGGGGACAGACTTCGCGATGTAGAGTATGCAGACGACATTGCTGTAATTTACGATACCTCAGAGGCCGCCTAAAATGTGCTGTGCAGATTGACGGTGTCTGCCTCCCGGTTTGGAATGACCTTCGCCCCTTCGAAGTGTAAGGTCTTCGTACAGGACTGGCTAGGATCTGTTCCAACCCTTACCTTTTCAGGTCAATCTCTGGAAGTGGTAAACAAGTTTGTTTATCTCGGAAGCTGCATCAGCGTTAACGGCTTGACGGATGAAGTCTCCTTGCGCGTCTCTTAGGCCCGGGTTGCGTTTGCTAATCTCCGCTATCTCTGGCATCGCTATGACCTGAGCCTATCCTTGAAGGGCCTAGTCTACAATGTCACGGAGAGAGCGGTCATACTCTACGTTGCTTGACACAGCCTATTCGCGCAAAGGACATTCAGAGGCTATCTGTTTTTGATCACCGCTGAAATCGGAGCATTGCTGGTGTACGGTGGCAACATCACATTAGTAATGAGGATGTTCGCCGAAGGATTTTCAAATCGGACAGACTTTGCCGGCCGCTGAGCCGTATAATTCCACTGCATAGGCTTCGGTGGCTTGGGCACGTGCTTCGCATGCCTACTGAGCGTTTGCGTCACAGTGCACTGTTCACGCGCACAGAAGTCAGCTGGAAGCGAAGACAAGGTGGCCAGCGAATGACTTGAGCCATGACTTGAGTATGAAGACGTTGACTTCACATTTGGCCGCGGTCAGGCGTTCTCAACTACTCGGTTGAGGGCCCAAGAACCATGAACACACTTGGCTAAAAACCCTGTCAGTGGCGAACATGTTGTGAGACTGTCCCCATGACACCAGTTTTGCACTTTTAACCCACTCTATTTCCTTAGTATTGTTGTATTACTACGTTTGTCAAATCGTTGCGGCACTCTGCCAATCGTAATGTTGGCTGTGTTCTGCATATATATATATATATATTTATATATTTATATATATAGTGATGACGGACAGTATGCTAAGGCACTCGTGTGGAGACGGAAATCGCACACGTAGGAAAAGTGAGGCACAGCACTGGGCAGAGTGGGTCGGATGAGGAGAACATTCCGAATGCGTCACATCGTCCGGAGATAAGCCGTTCCTTTTATCCCAGTGGAAGTACATAAAGCTATCAAAGCTCTGTATAACAAACTCATCGTGCTGGATTGTCAAGTGCGAAGTTTTTAGGTATCTGCTTCGTTGTTATGCTACTTTTTAGCAAAGCATTTTGATTCAGATCGAGAAAAATTACCTGAAATGAATCGCAGGACAGCGGTGAGGACGCAAATATAAGTTTTGCCTCCTTAACTCATCACCACTGCATCCAATGGTCTCCTAATAACTAAAACTGAAAATTAAGTCACGGTGCCTTGAGCACACGCTCAAGGTATACACTCAGGGGCAGATAGATTTACGGGCTGACTGGCCCAATGCAAAAAAACACGAAGCACTGGCGTGTGTTGAGTCTCCGGAATCGGAGTGTGACTACCGAACAGCATTAGATCATTCGATCCCGTCGCGTTCTCGCCTCGATTACGACAATTGAAACCGCAGAAATAGGTACAGTTCATGAAAGTGGTAAGAACAAAAGACCGAAGGTAAACAATTGTTCTCGATGATACATCCTCAGACCCGTACACTCATATGAGTGAAATAGCAATGGGCGTAAAAGTGGATTCGATCAGTTCAAATGAGATGCGATCACGTGCCGACCAAGGGCATGAACCAGCAACAAACGACAAACTAGGACAAAGGTGTAGTTGCACAATTACAGTTGCCCTCAGAAGTCTCCGTTTTGTCTGGCCAAAGTAGCTTAACAGCTTCGATCAGCTCCTTTTGTGCACATAAATGCGGTTGATCCAACCGAATGCTGATCGCTTCGGCAGTAGCAAGGGTGCGAAGGCGCAGGCCTTTCGACTGGAGTGGAGGGACCCTGTATAGTATCCGAAATACATGGATTGGGTCAACCTCATGCCCATTACTAACAAGATGAGCCATAACAGAGCTAGTTATAACCCCAGTATCGCCTCAACGCAAACAGCGAGGTAGGTGATGAGACCATTGGGCAAAAAGTATGAGTGACTCTCAAGATATATCCCAAAGGCGTTACTGATCGCAAACCACATCACCCAGGTAACAGACCGAAGTTAATACACCTTCCATACAGTTGAATATTTCGGCTGAAACTAACCTATAAGGAACTTGGTCAGATTATTCGTCAGAACCGATAAGTGTCTACTAAAGTGTGTGGACCATACAAGACGGTCAGAACTTAGACACCTGTTACGCTGATGCTCATAAAATTACACCTCTACACACAGAGTAAGAGTGAGCCCAGATTAGCTTTCCGTTCGATGTGCGTTGTGGACGCTTGAGGTATAGATAACTGCGCTGCGGATATGAAGAATATGGACGGCGTACAAAAGAGGACTGCGGCGATTGTCATGGCGGTACGAGTCAACGCATAGTTGAGAAGTTACGTCACAGCAACAGAACATTATAATCGTTCATTGAAGTAACGGGTAAAGCAGGACAGCTGGCGCACATCGAAACAAGCAAAAGACACAAAATGCAAAGTTGACGCTTACAAACTTCGGTTGCTCGGTAGAACAGAGGCGCCCAAATGTTCTTAGTAGTGAAAGCCCATTCAAGAACAGCACTGTCGGCAATTCCATTGTATGCACCACCGCACACATACCAAAAAGGCTTAAAGTCATACACTCGATGCCATTGTATAATCGAAGAGTGTACTCACCTCGAAATATACTCGATCCAGATGGTAGAAGATGGATTACAGTGCTGTCAATTACCTAGGAGTCTCGAAAACACAGACGACCGATCTAGCAAAGTTATGTGATAATCCCACTAAAAGAGTGAATAGACAACAGCCCAATACACCTCCGTGAAGAGCTCAGTGGCAGTATTGGGACATGACATGTTGGTTCTCATTGATAACCATTTCATCTGGCGAATCCCTTCTTTTGACCAATTTCGTTAAGAACGTTCAGTTGCACTCCCTCATTCAATATTCACCAGAGTGCGAGGCAAGTGTAGACAACCGAAGTGGACTGCACATTAAATCAAGTCGGGTGTGGATTGTAATTCCAAATGAGCGTATAAAATCCAAAGCTGCACCTTGTGATTTACGAAGTTCGATAACTAGCCCTTTCCCTACATCATAATAAAGTGCGCAAGTGCAGATTTACACCTGCAGCTGGTGAAATGAAATCAATGTAGAGTGTGATAAAGACGAATACATGGATCAGATCACGAGTGGCCTGTGCAGATCAACGGTGCGAGCCGCGATAGGCGATTTTCTCATTGCATTGCGGCGAGATGAGGCAGGCGAAAGTGAAAAAACACTCTCACTGGAAGTGACGTCCGCCAATAGTTTCCCCTATGTGAACAAATTCCCGCGATAACCGGTAGAAACGGATACCACCGACACTCCACCGTGAGTTATCATAACAGTGCTTCATTGTGATCATAGGAGATAAACAGACAAGGAGGAAATGGATATTGTCGTCCATCGCACCACTGAGCAAATCACGTCGATATCGTGAGCAACAGTGCGAGCGGGGCTTTAAATGAAAGGAAGAAAGGATGGCCTGAGCACTAAACGCCGCTAGCACTGCAAGTAGTGACGGTCCCGTATAGAAGAGTACAAAATGAATCGCAGTTGAAAGTTCGTTGACTACACAATGGAAAGTCTGAGCGAAGTGCTCGGCTTATGATACCCGTCCATGATGTAGTATGTAAACGAGGTTCCGACAAACAATAATTCTGTGATCGGTAGTTAAAAAGTAAATATCGTCCAGTGATAAATACACGCCGTAGCGTAATGAAGTAAGTCGTTCGTTCCAAAACGTCGGCTCGCTGTGCAACAGGAGTTCTGATTTCGGGTGCTCCGTAGGAACGTGGTTGACGTGGGTAGTAGGTAACCAGGTGATCAAAGGTGGATCAAGGGTCGTCGAAAAATTTAGCGATCCAACGTACTGCACCGATATTAGATGATTTGTGCTCATAAGGCAAGAAATGAAGGATTTCACCTTTTAACACGAGTCGTACTTTTCAGGGGAGTTGACATAATAAACACACTCTAAAAGTTCAGATACAAGCCCAATACGGATGCAGCTTTATATAGATAGCATCCTGTTGTAATCATTGCAGGCCATTAAATGGGACGACATAGATAACAGTTTCAGAGAGTCAGAATTCGCATAGAAAAAACTCATCAGTTAAGGCTCAAAATTCTGAACGTAGATAGCTGACACACCAACTTGTATGTGCTGATTTGATATGGTCGCATTGTTAAACCAGTTTGTGGTACCGTAGGACACCATATGGATAGAATAAGTGCATCTGGTCAATTTTTATTACACATACGTCACATCTCTGAAGGATAAGTTTGAACAAAGAAACGATGCAACCCTAACTGCTGGCAGTGTTGCTTACACGAGATGAGCCTCTGGACGGAAAGGTGGAACACAACAGGGCAGATGGGACTTGCGGTTTGGGCGGTATAGGTGGCGGTGACTGGCCGGAAATAGAATCTGAGGAAACGGGTGCAGCTGAAGATTCAACAAGTGGCTTTTCTTCCAACACGTCCAACAAAACGTCGATATGTTCATTGGAATGGTACACCCTTCGACAGCTCTGTTTGTCGACGGCTTGTATGGGTTGTAGGGGTTAAACAATTGAGAGTTAAAAAGGCATGTGGAAATGGAGGACATCATTCAATGTGAAGAATTCACACTCAAAAGCGTAATACTCAGCGGGGAGTGGCAACCAGCGGACGAACAATCGAAGTCGTTGGTGGAATGGTCCCGGATGATCAGAATTTCAAATAAAAATATAACTCGTGTTGACCGATTAGTAGCAATAAGCCACAAAGTCTTTCAGTTAGATCCCGCAGTCGATCAGCATCGCAACTAACAATGCCGCAGTAATCTGAGTTCAGAGACTGAGACTGTATTTAAGAGCAAGTAAAAAGGTTTCCGTACAACCCTATGGAATTACGAAAAATCACAAACATGCAATTGCGAATCGTCAGCGGTAGTGTTTGGTCAGTTGCTCGTTTATTCTAGTTCGGTTAAGAATTCGTATTGGTGTCATTATTTCCGGTTATAGAATGTACTTTTTGTATTGAAAATGCACCGTTTCATAAAAGCACAGGTTTCCGAAATAATTGTTGGTGGGTGTTTTAAAACTCTTCACAGAATCGGCATCTGTCATGCGGGTAATGTAATCCATAAGTTTATGATTCTCCATTCTATACAAAGCTGATGTGATACCTTGTTTATGCAGTGGACCGTGAGTTTGAAAAGGTGTCCTCGGGCGGTACAGGGTTCCCGCAGGTGAAATATTGGGTGAAGCATGAGGAAGTGATTCAAGTGTATCATTCGATGAGTTATAATAAGGTCAATTCAACTCGGCGGTAAAATAGTGTGTAGAGTTCTAGCCTTTCACAACGTTTTTCAAACGGAAAATTTCGTAGACTAGGTATTATTCTAGTAATGACATGCTGTATTTGCTCCAACTTTTCAGTATCCCACTGGGTTGTCGGCAAAGCAAGCGGTCTACTGTTGTCTTGGTCAAACGTTTGACTACTTTACATACCCTGTGTAAGTGGCAACATGAAATTTCTGACCGTTGCAGAAGTGGCAGTATTACACATGTATCAAAGGATCAAGCAACTGTAATCCAACTGCTTGCAGTTCAGTCATCTTGAATAGGTTCGAAAAAAGCATTCGCGGAAAGACGCGGACACAACGCGGTCAAAACGATCCGCTTCAATTCGACTATAGAAGTTCGAGGTCAGTCCAAGACGCAGTGGCCTGCGTTGTGCATTTGGTTCCATCAAAGTCAAGTGATAAAAGTAACTCCACCCGACTGTGCCTGGGCAACTACAATAACGCCTCCGGCCGCGTGAACTGCGAATCGTTGTTGATAGATCTACTGGGCTTTGGAATACATGTTTCCATCGTCATAGCGTTGATGGATTAGTTTGAAGGTGGCGCTCAAAACAACCAACTTAAAGGCAGAAGCTTATCGTCACTAATCGCAAACACCAGTGTTCTTCAAGAAGTGATGTCGTCATCATTGCTATTTTCAACTTACTTCGGCTCGATGCCAATCACGGAAGAGGTGATTCTATTGAAGAGTATGCAGATGGCATTGTCTTCGGCCTAAAGAAAAGTAGAGTATCTAGCTGTCACGCTTAATTAAAATTTTTCTTGGCCACAGTATATCAAGGAAACATCCCCCAAAGTCAGTAGGCCATCGTTCTACGCCCCACATCTGGGACTCCCTCTATTCCTCATGACTTGACATTTCGTTTGCTCACTGGTTGCGTTCTCCCGTATTGGGCGTACTGCTTTCCATGGACTTTCCAAGTCTATCGGGCAAGCACTTTAGAGTAAGTGTCAGGACGTCAAAACCACTGTCCTAAAGTGGCGATGTTACAAAGCTGACTTTTATCAATCCACTTGTGTATACTAGTGTTGGTTCAATAGTACTTACCAACAAAAATCCCACCACACCCTTCATGACACAGTAGCAAAATATGCGTCAAATTCATCAACTAGACAAAAGCAGAAGTCCACACATGCCAGAACACGAGCCTACCGTTACGTATTAACACATCACGTAGCACGATTTTCTCTAGACCCCAAAACCATTTGAGAATTAACCAACAGGTTCATTCAATGAGGATACAGTATCTATTCGTTGTGAAAGCACTTTTTGGTTTGCTTTTATATCATGATACCGTTGCTGTCTTGCTGAAAGCTTGTGCAATGCAGTTGAATATTTGTCCGTCATGAGTGCAAAAAAACACTTTCTTTAAGGGAAGAAAAAAGCAACAACTGTTGGAAGGTTGCAATCGGTACTGCGGAACACATCCGAGCACCTGATGCAAGAGTAGCTCAATACGTTCGACTCAAAATGTCTGCAACAGAAAAATAAGAACGGTAAAGTTAACCGAGGGGGGATCTGACACATGGACAAGTTTGCCTCCAAAAACCAATACTTGCTCTTGGCAATGATGAACATGGGATACCACAACCGCCCTGACATGAAACTTGGCAACTGCACCTCATGCATAAAACAGGTATACTTGCAAACTGCAGGCAGGATCTGTGGCGTTTCGACTTTAACATAACACTCAAATGCCAGACAAACGGATATTTTTACTATTGTTGATTATCCAGTATCAATAGGGCATAAGTTGTATATTGATGGGCTATACACACCGCAGAAAACCTGTCTGTGCACACACTAATGAACCGTTCATAAGTGCAAAAGGTATCCAGTTTCGTTGACGAAATAAAGAATCTGAGTGTGTATCAATTGAATTTCAAGTAGGAAATATCGGTAACTCAGGTGGATTAAACCATCAAACAAATGGATGCTTTTAGATATCATAATAGTGAATAAACGCGAGAATAGCACGGACAGAAATGACTAAACTTACTCTTATCTGCGGTGTCCAAGTGGCTTGCAGTTGACGAAGTAATCGATTTAGGTCGTGTATCAGTAGGTTTCGACAGCCTCTCACGCGACATGTCTCGGAGTGATGATGCGTCTTCCTGTTGTAAGGGAAACAATACCTCCTTTGCCTTTGACGGAGACGCAGGAACGTGCGTGTGGGAAGTACGCGCGGAAGGGGTGCCTGTTAGCTGGGCGCGATCGGTAGAGGTGAGAAGTGTAAAGGTGGTTTTGGGGGTACACGAAAAATATGCGTTTCGTGCACTTTTCGAGGTCCAATGAGGACTCTGTGAAGACATAACGTGTGGAAAGGAAAGAAAAAGTACTATAAAACATTATTGTTTGACATTATTCCTAGAGAAAAAAGGAAAACAAATGCAAAAAATCGCAGTCTGTCAACATGAGGCATCTGTGTGGGAAGTGAATCATGATTAGGACAGACAAACTAACCTCGAAAGGGATTTCGAGCCCCATCGGATCTGTGGGAGGAGGAAGGGGAGCAGGACCCTTTTTACGAGGTAAGGTCGCCATGGTACCACCAGAAAAAAGACGATTGAAACCTAGATGGGAAATCGTAAAGCACACGTAATATTCACCGTTCTCGCAAACTGTAAGAGTGCATCACCGAGGAAAAAGTGTTGAAAATACCAGTCAACTGACGGATAGTTATGGAAACGTTCGATGAATACAGTAAAGTGAGAGCTAGAAGATATGTGTTGAATCATGACATATTTATTATTGAGCACGCAAGTTAACTAAGGTCAGTTATTACGGTGCAATGTCGACGAAGTTCAGTTGCATGATGTCGTATTTAGGAGCGATCTGTTCTCGTCACCTAAAATCCACAAAACCGTGGTTCGGGAATTGCTCGAAATCCGACACCGATTGCGCCCCAACTATTATCGCGGTTAAACTCTTACACTATTCGAAATACAGAGGGTGAGATATCCATTTTTAGGTGAGGTACTGCACGCTTACACCGATACTCGCGAGTGATGTTTGGTGCGCGCACATGCAGAAGCGGCTTCCGTTTAGGAAAGTCACCGGGATGTACTATCCGGTACGTCATTATGAGGTTCGATCGAAACCGACAGGGTGTACAGCTCTAGTCTCCTGTATCGGTCTTCAAAGAGGATATCCCGCAAACTGAGGATATGCCAGATAGCAACATGCTGAAACGGTTTCATTTTTTGCACGACGCCACTGGTGGTCGGACAATAGTCGGGTGGCGCATACTTGAGCACTGATCTTATCATGGAAGAAAAAGGGCGAGTGGCAATCTCTCTACACCAAGTGCAGAAGCTGTAGTTGGGCGCCCAAGATATTCGTGGTCTGTTTCAGTGTAGCCTATTCGCGTCGCCCACGTGCTTCAAATCGCAGCGTGAGCGCACACCTAGGTTCTTCAGAGATGTGGGATGCGGCGATTGATCGGATAGAGTGAAGTACGCCCGTCGGTACCGTTCCCCAGACTCATAAAACGACTTGACTGGGTTAACCGGGAGGCGGTCGATATGATGCTGCAATATGTCAAATTCGTTGAGAGCATCAACTACTCTCTAAATCTTCAGGTCGACCGTCCAAAACGACAGTTGAAGCTGAGGCACTTGGCTGATGTAAATCCGGAATAAAAAGGCTCCCAATGTTGTACCTTGAGGTCCGTTACTAGTGGAATGAAACCGGTCGGCTAGATGAGTACACATATGCTTCCTCTAGTTTAGCCCAATAAAGAAGTCGCTGATCTACTAGCGCAGTGAGCCACAAACATCTCACATCCACAGTAACTGTAGAAGGACTTTATGAATCACCATGTGGTACGATTTACTGAAATCAATGTAGATCAGGTCAAATAACTTCCCCCGCCTCAGCTCTTGCAACCATTCATGCCCCGTCAGCAGCAGATTGGGGATGCATGAAGATCTTTTATGGAACCGTGCTCTGTCTGTATCAAGAGATCTTCAGACTCTAGCTTCCTGAGCACCTTAGTCAACATGATCGGACGAATCGGTTTGTAACTGTCCATTTTGCCTTAAAGAATTGAATTCATTACTGAAAATTTTCAACTGCTCGGCAATGTACCTTTGGCCAGCGATCAAGTGAATAGGTCAGTTGTAGAAGGCGATATAAACTAGAGAATCGGAGAGTGGAGTCCGTCAGGAATTGCACGCCACGTGCCGTCAATGGCCGAGCAGGTTGCGTACATCTTCGGTGCAGACGCAGGGCCAAAAATGCGAATGCGTAAGCGAAGCGAAATCAAGCCGATATATATATCTATAAATCTCTCTCTCTCTCTCTCTCTCTCTCTATATATATATATATATATATATATATATATATATATATATATATATATATATATAATGCGTGTATGTGGTTGGCGGCATCCGGTTCCAGAATTGTCCGTCACTGTGGCCTTTAGAGGACAGGCACTGGACGCCTGCGCCTATGGAAGGACCACGGCTGGCTTGCGCTGCACTACGCACAGTTCTATCCACACATCCCATATCCAGTGTAAACCCGTAGGAATAAGACCGGGAGGCAGGTGGATGGGAGCCACATTTCATTAGTGGAGCCGGCTCATACTACTTCATACGCAAACACAAGCATGCTGCATCTGGGGAATCAACCGCACACAAGGCGGTGGTTAGGCCGTATCACGATCCCCACACAAACCATGTGTATAGAACCACAGTTTGAGCCTAATACGGTCCCGAGAACCGTGCACCCGGTGTCTTCCAGCAATGACCAACTGTCTCCTGGAGCCAGCATAGACGAAGTAGTGGGTAATAGACTGGTAGGCACCTTGTCAACATGCACATCAAGCGCAGCCACACCGGGGATATCAAGTAACAGCCAAATCACTCGAAAGTACAATAACGAATAAAATATATCGAATAAGGCAAACGGGTATGACAACACAAATACTCGCCAAATGAGCATATGGAGTAAATTAATTATTACCGAGTCCGGGATAAGTACAAAATGTCCGAAAATTATTTTAATAATGCCACGTGATAAAGTCGCGTAGGTTTATCACAATTAGCATGAGCGAGGTGCGCAAGTTAGTAAAAGATTATCAGGTACGCAGGACAAATTAAATAGAGGGGGATAAATTGTATTCACATAAAAAACATAGTTTAAGTGTAAGTTGGTTTAACTCAACTGTGGTGAAAAAGCACCATGCAACATCAGCCTCAGCTTGGGGCCCATCAGACATGCATACATAGCTATATATATGGAAAATGTGCAATACCAAACAAAATATCACGGTTAAGACCAAGGTAAACTAAGTGATTGCCTCAAGAGTTTCCGTGCGCAAATTGCACTAAACCGCCTGGCGATTGAAGCATCAAAGTATGGCATGTACTTTTCGTCATCCAAATGCAAGGCTCTCTTCCAAGACTGGCAGATGCCTCTGTCTGCACTCACTCTTGGTGGTGAAACAAAAGAGGTTGTAGAGAGCATTGTCTACTTGGGAAGTTGCATAACTGCTTGCGGGGATGTTGGAGATGAGATTTCGATGCGCATCTCGAGAGCACGCCTCGCTTTCTCTAGGCTGAGGCACTTGTGGCGTCGCCATGACATTCGTCTCTCCATCAAACGGCGGGTCTATTGTGCAACTGTCCGTGCTGTAATGTTGTAGGAATGCGAGATCAGGCTTATTCGGAAAGCCGACTTGCGCAGACTATCCGTCTTCCAGCACCGCTGTCTGCGGTCCATTGCCCGTGTATGGTGGCAATACGTAAGTAATGTGGTAGTTAGACAGCGTGGCTTGGGACGAGGAAGCCACTCGCTCGAGGAGCTCATCTCACTGCATCAATTGCGGTGGTTGGGACACGTATTGCGCATGCCTGTCCAGCGTTACCCCCGTCGTGCGTTGTTTGCGGTTGCTGGACAGGGCTGGAGAAGACGGTCTGGTGGACAGCCTACAACATGGAGAAGCCGCATGAAAAAGCTGACGAAACAGTTAGCCTCGGCCGGTTGTTGTCGACTACCTGGTTGGGGTCCGAGAGATGCGGATACTTGCTGGTTGAAGACTTTGTAAGCCATGGCTCAAAATCGATGTCAGTGGAGGACGTGTGCATCGGTGTGCCTTATTCCTCCCCTTAAAAAACCAACTGAAAAAATTTTAAAAACTGTGAGCGGTAAACTACACAAAAAAGCTTTTGCAGTTGTTGCTCTTTCTCATTATTCACACTATTTTCCTATTCAGGCATGATTCCGATGGCACAATAACTGTACCATCGATTATATATATATATATGTATATATATATATATATATATATATATATATATATATATATATATATATATATGTTATTGAGCCGTAATTAGCAACGCATTAGTAAATTGACAGAATTATCGGGTTTTTGTTGCGCAATAACACTTTGAACGTGGTCTCAGGGTTCACGTGATGACGAGTTGACATAAAGAGCTTGGTGATAGACGAAGCCGGGTACCGATTAATCCTAAGATCCGCTCCATTTTGTCGCGTCATCACTCGCCCCTCTCACTTTGACAAATGTTTAAGTACCCTCTGACCTAACTGACGGATAGTTCTGCCTATGTAAAAGTCACAACAACTGCAGGTGAACTGCTAAACAACGCGAGAGGCCGAACTGCCTGAGGAGCTGTTCTGACGGTTATGAAGAACAAGGCTTCGCGAGGTATGTATGAGCCGCAACTGCGCGGTCGTGTAGGTGAGCATTAGGGCGAACCGGAGCTTGCGTCCGATATCATTTGCCACATGGTGACAGGAACAGCAAGAAATAAACATCTTCTGCACAGTTCGTAAGTCGCATGACAGTGGAGGATGAGCCGCGTGACATCGCAGTCAACACATTCATGCAGGTCAGCTGCCGTCACCCATGGCTTAGTAGCACAAGCTGCTGGCACCCGGAAGTCATGGGGTAGAAACCGAGGAGTCGAGGAACGTGCACCACTGACGAGACCTAGGAGGTCGAAACGACTTCCGGGGGTGTGAGAGCCTGCCTGATGGGCTATTATTGCGATGAAAAACGACCTCCTTTTGCTTCGTTAGCACCAAGGTTTTTTCCTCGGAGGCCAGCTGTGTGTCCCATTTGATATTAAGACCTACCGTAGAAATTCTCCTTCAGCATTTAACATTTCGGGGCTGCAAATTTGTCTAGCTCTGTAGAAGAGTTCTCACTAGGACCCGTTTGTATGCGGCCGGTGCGAAGCTGGAATAGTGAGGATACTCTCTACGCAGGTTAATTTATGGTGAACAGTGCGCTTCAGTGTACCCTCGGCTTGTCTCTTAATGAGCATATCCAAAAACGGGAAGCAATCGGGCTGTTCCACTTCAGGGGTACCGATAAGTGTGGATGAATGGAATTCAGAACGGTTAACAGCCGTGTAAAATATTTGCCGCTGCCGTCTGTACAACTCCACTTAACCAATGCTGGTAGCAATTTGCATTTCTATCAAGCCGATGAAGATGTCTGCTAAAACTGGTCCCAGAGGGATGTCAACACAAAGCCGTCGACTTGTGTTTGTTGTCCAATCAAACTCAAAGCGTACATTTTCGATGCACAATAAAATCATATACCACAAATACTCCACTGGGAAGACTACAGACATGTTCGCGCTCAGAAGGAATCGCCTAAATTATTGACTGCCTCACGTAGAGGAAAATTTGAGAATAATGTGTCTACGTTCATAGGGTACACGAGCTCCGCGCTCAGTGACAACTGTTCCAGAGTCCGGGCCAGTTCAAGGGAGTCTTTAAGGTAATACGTAAACAAGCGTTGTTGCACCGGGCCTAATAGTTTCGCCAGCCACCAAGCAATTGTTCATATACAAAACCGGCCGCAGCGGGTTTCTTGACATGGGTCAGCTGGAGTGCCGCTCGTTGAGTGTCTGCATCCTAGTCGGTTATAATTGCCTGAATGGGGACCCACTGGTCTAACCATGTAGCAAAAGGATCTATTTTCCTTGCCTCATGCTCCTCCACCAAGACGTTGTTTTCTCCTGTCTCGTCTAGCTGGAATTTCTCCCTGTCCCCAAGAGCAATGGACCAAATCTTCGAAATGTAGTCAAGCCGGTTTATTAGTAAAATGTCCGATCCAAACTTGCGGTTGCGTTCTTCATGCTCTTTCTCCAAGTCATTAGCTGTCCACCACGGCAGTTTTTCCAGTCGCTCCCTGGGATTGCAAATAGCGCTCGACGTGGAAGACGATGGGCTGCCATGCGCAAAACGTGCCCGAGCTAATGCATGCGATGTCGAAGAATAACGTCTTGTAGACTGGCACTACTCGCTCCAAGCACTGTCTTGCAAATCTGCGTTGCTTACGTGGTGTTGCCACCAAACCCGAGCAATCCTTCGTAGGCAGTGATTGTCAAAGACTGACAACCGCTTCCGTGGTAGTTGCAGCAATCGTCGCGTGAGCCCTTCTTGTGAATCGGAACAATGACCGATTCTCCCCATGAGTTCGGAACCTTCTCCTCAGTCCAAACTTTTGTGAACAGCGACAGGATTTCGCTGACAAGTACAATCCCCCCCCACCTTTGAATAGAGCCGATGGTAGGCTGTCGGAACCCGGAGCCTTGAGGCGTTTCAAAGATTGGATTGCATCTCGGATCTCTGCTTCATTTGGGGGGCTGTATAGACAGGCCAAGCTTCATCCATTGCGGCTGGAGGTGTCACAGCGGGCTGTGTTGGATGGTTGAATTGAAGAGCGAAATGCTCTGCCCAGCAGCCCAATCGCCTGTGAAGGTTGGTGATGTTCTTGCAGTTTGATTCGCAAATCGTCTGGCTGATAGCATGGGAATTACAACCGGTGGTCCTGATGAAGCAAAAGAGATGGCAGAAGTTGCCAGCTGATGCAGCAGCTTCCATCTCATCAGCTTGTTCTGAGCACCAAGATTCACGAACATAGCGAAGGCTTACTTTCAGTTGTGGCGTAACAGACCGGCGGTGTACTCTGCGCCAGCAGGCACCGCCCGTCGGCGATAAGCAATCCCGAGGATCTTTCTTTCCGAAATCCAGCTTATGGGAGTGGGGCGAACAAGGCCACAGCTGGACAAACCGGCCGACAGCAAGGCTCATTGCAGACTTGATCAGTGTCGATCAACATCCAGAGTGTGAGAGAGCGAGATGTTTACGAAGCCTTTGTTGTTACTCCTTCTTCACCATTGGGTCCTCCAAGTTTTAGGTGTTCAGTCGGGTGTGTTTGGACATAGGCGAACCACCGAAATGCATGCAAACGGTCGCACATACAAGTGCATGATCGGTATCGAAGCATGTTGACCAAAATGATCGATAGTCGCGTACGCTATCGAAACACTTGCGACTTATGGCTATGTGGTCAATCTTTGACCAGCGCTGGGTCGATGATGAGGGGCGTTAAGTGGCAAACTGGCATCCAGGATGACAAAAGCTGGTGCTGGAGAGGAATAGCTGATGATCAGCACAAAGATTGAGTAGTCTCTCTCCGTTGCCTGAGCGAACATAGGCATATCCATGCGGTCCGCGAGTTGGCGCTCACATGGCAGAAGACGACCGACACGCGCGTTGAAGTCTCCTGCCAAAAATGATGTCTGTTTTATGAGCAGTTCATGAAGGTTCTGGTAGAACTGGTCATTGACTGTGCCCGAGCTAGTCACTGGGCGCGTAGGTAGAGATCACGAAGAGAGCACGCTTTTCGACTCGACATGGAGTCTCATCGCACAAAGGCGACTATTGATCGGAATCCAATCGATCAAAGTAGCCTCGGCTCTAGCACTGAGGGCGATTCCAACACCAGCTTATCCAGATGCGGCAGACCCGGCGTCTCCAGAGAGGCGGAGATGGAAGCGGGTGTGTGGGTGGAGCGGTGACACCAGCTGGTAGACCGAGTTAGAGTCCTGGAGTCGTGTTTCATTCAGGCAGCAGATATCAATTCCAAGGGTCTTTAGCGTGCGTGCAACTCCAGCTTGCTGACCGATCTGCAGTAATGTGCGTACGTTGCAGCCTGCAAGTTTGAACTGCGTTCCGGGTTGCAGGAGCGAATATGGGAAACTTTGGGACTGGGAACTCTCAGTTGAGCACTGTGTGATTGAGTTGGCAGATGTTAAGGGAACAGATTCATCGGTGTAGGTGGGGTTTATCGCCACAAAGGAATCAGGTGAAAATGGGTGTGAATGGTACAAGGGAAGGGTAGATAAAATGGTGGCGTGTGCTTGTGAAGTTGGCATAGTAACAAGAGTGAATAGCATCGTAGCAGCAAGAGAGAGGTGAATGGTTCTGGTTGTAAGTCCATACTACCCGGCTGCCCAGGCCGAAGTAGAGGGTTGCCTTAGAAGTCCCTACTCCGAGCCTTTGATCAAGGATCTAACCTACAAGGCAGCAGGGCGATGTGAGGGCGTCGCAACCCGTTGGGAGCCGGTGACCAAATAGATGGCTCTTGCGCTTTTTGGTCCGTGAAGGACCACGGGCCCAACGCACCCTTGAATGCCTTTCGGGGAGGGGTAAGGGGCAGTGACTTTATTTAGTGGCGTCACATCCGCCACACCAGTGTTGGTAAACAGACATCTGTAGAGTTTTATAAGGAGAACGCTTGCCAGGCGAAAACTCACCATGTCCTGGAACACTACTGCCGAACCATTTGTTGGAATGGGAAAAACTCGAACCACCAAGCTGGCACCACGAGGTGGTTGTTCGGCAAGCCAGCATTGTAGACTATTTCAGCAAGCAGGCTTAAGTATCCAGACATATTTCGTGTCGCGCGTACTTATCGTTGCACCCTATGGACATGCTTCCATACCTGATGTTGCAACCTTAGCCAAAAGTGCAAGGTCACGGCACTAGTTCGCTCAATGCAGCGTTCTTAATAAGGTGTTTTCCGGTGATGGAACAAACTGCATACACCTGATACTCCACCGATATGTACGCAGCAGATGATGCTTCGTTTATTGACCAAATGATGTAAACTATGGCCAGTCAAGTAGGGAAGTCAAGACAAATGTGTGATGCTAAGGAGGAGTTGTTCGGAAGGACTTCGAGTCAATAGTGGTGTATGCTGCCATTCCGGTGTAAATGTGCAGGGTTAATTCTGCCACCGGAACTAGTGATCATCCACAGTTTGACGACTGTAAATTGCTTCGAGGCGATAGCGGCAAAACAAAAATATAGATGGCTTTCGCAAAAACTTTAACGACGCATTTTGAGGACGAAGACAAACGTCGGTCATCACCAATTTGAAAGCACCCCTATGTGTCATATCCAGTGGCACAAAAAGCGACTAAAAATGCCAGTGTCAGGTTGTCTACCATTCCGGAATGATGAGGGAAGATTGCGGAGCAACGCATCTTGTTTCATATTCGCTGACCGAGTCCAAGCCGAAGGACACATATCCAACCGTAAGAAAAACCATAAGATACTTTCCATGTAGTGTTCCAAATAGTTTTGGGTTTGAAACATAATATCAGAAAAACTAAGCCTCATTGCTGACTTGTGCTCGAAATGGTGTGTAGTTGAGGTTGGGAAGAAAGACGAAGAAAAACTCACAAGAATCCACTTGATCACCGACGTTTACAGTTAGTTTGTAAGTGTCAGATGGCTCCTTTGTATTCTGGAAGGACAGATCAAGATGGACAATAGAAATCATATCACAGGAGATAAAATGAAACAAATGAAAAAGGAAAATGAATTGGTTCTTCAAAGTGTGACGCATGTACGGTGAGCCTCAAAGATAATCGGAGCTGAAGAAACGCTAAAGACAATTAGGACGTGACAATCAACAACGGTCCGGATAGAGATGAGAAGTAGCGCTGCAGAATGTAACAGCCCGCGGTGCGTTAAAATCTAGTGATTAACTAGAAAAACTTAATGATGAAAGTCCGATTCGAAAGATCGACATAACCGTCAGGTGAAGATAAGAAAGGATACATCGCTAAACATTGAATGGGTGAGCCTTTGTGGACCGAAAGAAGCGTGCACTACTGAGTAAGGGGTAAGTAGCATGGTAAAACCGGCAAATCAAAGGCGAACGAATTAACGTCGGGACATTTCAACCGTCTACTATGAGGGGTAAGCCTCTGGCGACCAGATAAGAACGAAACACAAGAAAATTGCAGAAACAGTTAGTGAAAAGGAGTGCACCGATGTCCAAGCAGATAGTAGTCTAGAGGCTCAGCAGCACGTGAATGGACATTGTACAAGTTGTTTGAGGAAACAACTTCCGCGAATGAGTCACGCAAGGGCGCCCAGATGCCTCAAAGTGAAGGTTGCAAAGAGGAAGAGGTGGGTGGCAGTGACAAAGCAGACAGGTTTAAAGTGCAAGATATGGAAGGGATATGTGAAAGAAACGTGCACTTGGAAAGCGGAAGTGAAGGAAGTAAAATCTGTTCGACGATTTATTAGACATGGTAGGAAAACCAGAACAACTGGCGAATAGTATCGATATTGGTATGAACGTGTTTTGAGCAGACGATTGTCGAAACGAACAATGGTGGTCTCTTGCAGAAAAACTAATCGGAAGATCACGACGGAGTATAACCGGGGACCGTGGAGATGGAGCACCGAGCTGTTTTGTTGCATTTATGACCACCCCAAACACACACACTAAGTGCCGCCCATTAGGTTTGAGAAATGAGCTCAGTAAAAGAAAATACAGTAAGCCAATTACACCTGCATTTTATGGGTGTACGAAGCGAAAACGATGAGCCAAAGCGTGTGGGTTCCCATCAGATAAGTGAGAGCGAACACTTAGCAACGGTGATGGACTGCTATCAGATACACGATAGATGAACTGGATGCATGTGAAAAAGTAACTTCAACGGTTGAATGAAAGCGGGAGAATACTGACATGACCAAAGAGTTTCTTCGCAGTAGTCGAAATTCGTGACCCCATTGGTTCAGTGGTGGCTGTGGAGAGCGAAGGATTCCCACCAGGAGAATCCGTGCGTCCGTGAAGCGCAGATAAGAAAGGAGGAGGAGCAGTGAGCCAATTGACGGAGTTTAGTTCGTCTACGACTTTCTGCAAAGTGCTCCTAGACGCAAGGCTACGTTCCACGGCATCACTCCCAGAGAACAAAGGATCTGGTTGTTCAGCATTGCTTGAAGTGGACGCAACATGCTCGGCCATCCTCAAAAGGTGTGTACAATTCTCATAATCGGTCAACAGATTACCATTCAACACAGATTTTTCTTCCAACAGATCTTCTCCCAACTTTAAAGCCGTCTGTCCATCGTTGTTTCGCAAGTGTAACATCTAATGCAAGAGAAGATAAAATGAACATTAAGGGTACACAGAAGATTAGTTGAAACAGAGGTTGAATCAAATACGAGAATAACGCGAGAGTCAAAAACGCAGGTAAGTAGTAACGACGCTTCGATCCCGCGCAACCAACAGGAGTCGTGCGTGCCTAAGGATACTGCGAAGGTCACCCGGTTCTCTACGTACGCTCGAACCCGCGCCCTCGGAGTACAAGGTAGGCTTGTGATCCTTGAGACCATGGACTGGCGAGTTCCCATCCAAAGGTACATAAGGTCAGGAGAGAACACAAAAATGTGAGATGTCAAGGAAGAAAGAATGGCTCAGAAATGAATCGGGGGTGAGACAAAGGGAACTTGGGCTGCAAGTTTATAAACTACTAGAAGGACATCGCACTGAACTTGAAAGCGCAGATTTACCCAGTGCGAAAGAGAAATACTAAAAAGTATCACAAAGCCGTTAATACGAGAGAACAATAAAATAGACATCAAACCGTTTTGCAATGAGTACACAAAAGGCAACATCGAACCGGGTTGGTTGCGTGTAAGTGCAAAGAAATGAAGGACCCTAAGAACGGCCTAACCAAACCAGGAAGGTTTAGGATTACAGTCTGGAGTCGATACGAAAGTCAGTTTAACAGAAATAACATACCAGGATGTTCAAAGAAGGCTAGTGCTTGGAGTATGAAATGCAGAAAAACCGAATGGATTCAAAAGATCCTGGAAGGTCCCTGAAATAGAAGATTCTGAAGGAACTCGAAAAACATGTTAAGCCAAGCGCTCACAGACTCGAACATTTGATCAGCGCGCACTGTGAACCCTCAATTCTCAGTTCTTGATGAAATCTGATAGTCCACTCTAGTAGTTATGTATCCGGAAAAGCAAAAGATAGCTATTTCGTCCTGTTGGGACTTGTCGGTGGAGGTGGCTAATGATGGAGCAAAGGGATGTCAATAATGTCATTCTACACAGTAACCAGAGGTGAGAAACACCTTCTCTATATGTAACAGTGGGTATCCTCTGTAGATAGTAGAGCGTTGCGATAGTCTGTTACAAGACCTCACTCCGTCAGACGATGCGTATGAAACGAACGGAAATGTGCTGGCCAGTAGCATAAAGGTTACGAGCTTGCACCGTAATCTGACTGCGCGGATTCGAGCCTACGTAGGAACAGGGTGACTCTCGCAGTACCTTTAGCCCACGTACGACCGGTGGTGGTTGCGCCGTACGGAAGCGTCTATACTGCGTACCGGTGTACTGCTTATGTATGACACGGTAATCTTTACGTATTTCACAGGCACACCTTCCCTGAAAACAGTCATGATAAACCATTGCTGTCGAGGAGCAGGTCTACGGTCGGTTGCCAAGATAAGCGCCGGTGCTCCAACAAATGATGGGAAATGAAGATGTAGTCAATGCAGCCTCGATTTCGACGAAGTCCGACGTGCTCTTCACGAATATAGCTTACACGGGTGCTAATCAAAAATGAAGGACGACAAAGACTAGTCACAGAGATGATGGAGATCATACTGATCGCTCAATGTCTACCCCATTCAGGTGAGTCCTCATGAAGATCGGGACAATAAGGTGACGCTCTAGTAAATCGGGACAGTTTCCTACTCCCACAGCTTTAATAACAAATTATTCAATGAACTGACAAAACCAGGTACCCCGAATTTCAAGAGGACTAGAAGAAGTCTATCTGCTGCCGCGGCATTTTTTGGTTTCAATACCCGTGTCTCATGCACGACTTCTGCGCGTCAGGGTGGATCTAACGGAACGGTTCATGGAGAATGGCGATCAATGGCTAATAATGAATCTAGTAGTTCTGCAGGTACAGAGCACTTAATCTCGTCGCATATAGTCGTGCTAACACCAGGTTTTGTGCTGTCTGTTTCCCGCACATTCTATCGCTACCAAGAGCAGCAGAAATATCCATCTCTAACGCAGGAATAGATCACCAGGGCTAACAGTATCTCTGCCGGCTACCACGCAGTTTTTCAATGAGGTCTTTGAGAGTCTTGTTATGTTGGTCCCCAGCCGGAATATGTCGGCAAGCGTACATAAATTCCGGAGACCGTGTAAAGACCAAATGTCCTTTGTAAAGTCCAAAGAGAACTTGGAACATCCAGCCAAACTTGTTTACCTATCGAGGGCATAATATCTCTTTTCCTAAACCCTTCACTTATATCCTTACTGAAATTTATACAGGTTTGCTCCTAACACCTGCATTATGAAACACTACATTTTCCCTTTGCATCTTGGCGTATGCTTGACGCCTCAAGGGCAAACGTTTCATCCTTGACAGTCTGCCGATTAGCAAACTGCTACGGTGTACCGTTTTACCACACCGCCGCATGCCTTCCAGTTGCTGCCCATTCCCATGCTGATTACAAGGCTAGTCGTAAGTTAATTATTGTATTTACTTAGTATTATAGAACCACGGTAACAGGAATTTACGTTTTAATTTTCTCCCAACAGTCTGTGAGTATACTATAGGTCTACTGGCTATCTCGTGCGATTACCTAGTCTAGGCTTCGTAAAGTCTTTACATCTGTATTAGATTTACCACATGTGGATTTGTATATTACTAACAAAGTCTGACGAACATGCCAAGAGTGACCCTCAACTGCTTTATTGTACACGTACGCAGCCTTGATGCCAGCGTACTCTGATGCGTATACGGAACAACTAGCTACACCAGTTGGTAATTAACTATGGGATCACAGCGCCGTCGCATCCGGAGATCAGCACATACAAGCGCATGGTGGGAGTTCACGGTTGTGCTCCAAATCGAGCGCCAGCTTTGGACACCGTCTTTACAATCATAAATGATTGCGATGTGACTGATTTACATCCATCGTTGGTGGGTGCCATATAACGTTACGGCAGGAGCTGTGTTAGAATTTAATGTTCGCGAGGAATAAACGAACATCGTCACATAGATGTAACAACCGCTCAGGATTATTATTACGGGAGCCTACATGGTGTTGACCGACCAGATGCAACCTGAGCGTTCAGATCACAAGTCGGCACTATATTATCCGTGTTTCTTCTGCAGATTGTACAATTGGCAATAGAAGTAATCTTTCACCGAATCAGTGTTATAGTTTGTGAGGGCGTAGGTCGCAATGATAAACATACATGTTTTGCCTGCGCGCGACTTGGAGACTTTGTACGAGCCAGACAATCCGATTACCGACTGGAATCCTGTCTACCAGGAGGTTCAGCCCCGGAGCTCAGGCAAGTGCCGCCAGTTGACTTATTTGCAAACAGGTGCGCATGTTGTGGAATGATAGTCTTAGGGAGAATTGAGAGTTTCAAATAGAGGCCGATGAACTGAGGTTGTCTGGATGTTTGGACATGGACTTGTCGATAGGGCAGAGTTGACGCCCAATGAATGCGTGCAAGTCTAAACTAAAAGATAAGCGACCATCGTGGTAAGATGGAGGAAGGCTAAGAGTCTTGGGGTTGAAAATAGGGAAAAAAATGAATTTAGCAGCGGACGAAGTGGATGAAAAAGCACGAGGGGGTAAGAAGACGAGAAGGTCTGACCAGCAGCACCTTCATTCTTTGCAATGATTCGGAATACTTGTAGCTCGGGTTGGTAGTTAACGTTTTGATTCGTTCTCCGAGTTGAGTAATTTAAATTACTCAGCTCGGAGAACGAATCAAAACGTTAACCTTCATTCTTGTCTACCCCATTGGAAGCAGAAGGGGGGGGGGCGCTGTTGATTATCTTATGCGATGGTCAGAGCGTCAAGAGAGTGTAAAGTGGTTTTCATTGTGTTGCATGGGCAGGATACTGTCAGATTGCCCAGGCCTGGACACGAGAACAACTAAAGTCCTCAAATAACGCCTTTGTTCAAAAACCTGACCGCAAAGCAGCGGGAGTTTGACAGTGTGCTACAGGAATAAGAATCCATTTTCATTCCGACCCGCAATCTAGAAGATAAGGAGATTGAGTTGGTCCAATCTGGACCAAACTGGTACGAATGGCTCTGAAAGAGCAAGAAGGCCCACGCAGCATAGCTTCGTGGATTGCTAAGGCAAGAGAATCATAAGACAAGGAAAAGGTCCCGTTTCAATGCTATGTACACCACTGGCAAATCGCAATCAGATGAATTGTCCGGTTAGCGTTTTCCTGTATATGTGGTAGATTATCTGATGTAGAGACTATTGTGATGAACTCATAAAAAGAGTAGATCGAAAATCCCATAAAAGTAAATAAAAAACACCGCAAACCCACTTGGTGCTATCGCACACGATTGCTGTTGTGGGAAGCCCCAACACTAAGGTCCAGCCCAGTCCTATGCAACGCCCTTAAGTTGTATGGCATGGTGCAGTCGGCTTGTGACTCATAAGGATCTGTCGCCGTGGCCTAATGGCATGAGTCAGAGGTGGAAGAAAGCTCAGCTGTTATGACACAATACACCAGAAAGGAAAAGAAATGCAACAAAGGCACGCCGATGGAGTCCCCACTAACGGATGGATATGGTACCGGAGAGCAAACAGCCGGCTATTGTGCCGCAAAGAAGCCAAGTACGAACTGACGGTCTTAATGTCTCATGACCAAGTCACAGCTTGGCCACCTCTGATCTTCTTCCATCCACACCACTGGCGCGCAAATAAGGTACTTCGCGGGAGTCTTTGGGTTGGCATGCGCAAAAAATAGCCCAGCCAACGGAGCCAATGCGTGATATAACGGTCGCGAGCGGTTCACTTCTTTCTGTGCTATAAACGAGGCGTCGAACACGCTCATTGCTCACGCGGTGTTCCTGCCAAACTGCGAAAGCTCCGGTTGCTGAACGTAACTTGCTCGTTTACGTCTGCCGATTTAATGGGCCAGGTTTCACAACCGTACAGCATGGTCGAAGGTATAGCTACATTGCACAATTTACCCTTCAGGGAGAGAGTGAACCGTATCCTGACAAACGGGCACAAACAGACTGGGAAATAGGTAACAGGAGTGGATTGTGAAATCATGAATGCTAGTAGAGCAAAACATGCTACTTACTGGTGTAGGAAGACCACCCGCCTGAAGAAGAAGCTTTAAAGCGTCAGCAGATCCACAGCGCATAGCGTGATGGAGGGCAGTTTCACCACGGCTGTTAGTACGCTGAATATGGGAGCTAGAAACAAAAACAACACCGCAATCAAGAGGTGATAACATAACGGAGGAACGAAGTTGTACCACAGGTAATCACAAACATGGCATCAAACTGATATGTAGCTACTAATTTCGAAGAAAAACGAAGCGTGTTGCTGAACAGGAAGACAACCATAGATATATGTAAAATGGGAAGAAGTAACAGTATTAATGCTGAAAATGGGGCGGGGAGCAGCCGATGAGTAATGCACCCAATATAGACGCTACGGTGGTACTTGTTAGCGAATGCTTTCTTTACCGAGGGCAGGCTATCAAGACGGGTGGAGCAAGTGCAGACATCTTGGAGTAAAGAATACGAGATGGAATTCTAATCCATGCCGTGATTGTAAAAAGAAGGACAAGCCTTTGCCCTAACAGATACTCACCGCGGCACGGCGGTCGCATTCGGGTGGCATAGGGTAAATCAAAGGAGAAGACTAAAATGCCGGCGTATAACAGCCGATTCGAGCGCTTAATTGTCAGTGTTATAATTAAGCCGAGTTCAATCGGCTATGAACGGAGGAAAAGTGTGACTACAGACTTGGCACATGTTGCACTGGCATAACCCATTCTGTAAGCCGAAATACTGAATACTGACAACGGTAAGAAGACAACAACTGTGTTGCCCCATCGTAGGTGGATCGGGTAAACGCGTGGAAGCACGTCGCCGATTCTTGAGCGGTGGCAGCATCAGGGTGCGACACTCTAGATATCAATGTAGTCCGCAAAGTGAGCGTCAAAGAATCTCGTAAATTCCGACACCGATTTCGCTTCGACTAGCGTCTCCGGCTGTTGGGAACGAGAGTTCGATGCGCATCGCAATAGCTCGTCTAGCCTTCTCCAGGTGAAGGCATTTATGACTCCGCCATGGCATGCGTCTCTCCATTAAAGGACTGGTTTATAGTGCGACCGTCCGCGCAGTACGGTTGTGAGACTTGGCCTGCTCTTATCGATGACCTGTGGCCACAGTATGTCTTCCAGAACCATTGCTTGCAGTCAATCGCACGTGTGTGGTGGCTGAACCACGTAATCAACGCTGAAGTCAGACAGCGTATCTTGGGTGCAGACAGCCACTCCGTCGAGGCGCTTGTCTCGCTGCGCCAACCACGATGGCTAGGACACGTACTGCGTATGCCCGTTAAGCGTCTTCTGCGTCATACCTTGTTCGCGAGCACTGGACAGGGTTGGAGGCGGTGTGTCAGACAGCCAACAACTTGGAGAAGCAGGAAGAAAAAGCTGATAAAACAGCTGTCCACGGCCGGTTCCTCCCGACTTCATGGATGAGGTCCCAAGGATGCAGAGCCCCGTTGGATGGAAACGTTGGAAGCCATGGTTTGAAACCGTTCTCAGTGGCGGGCGTGTATCTCCGATTGTTCCGGTGATACCACTTCCTTCATCCAATAAAAAATTCAAAAAACGATGAGTGGAAAAATGGACAAAAAGCTGTTTGTTATCTTTTACTCCAATAGATTCAGTACTCCGCCATGGTCCCGATGACACAATATCTGTGCACAGATTGTGATCAACACTCCATATATATATATATATATATATATATATATATATATATATATATATATATATATATATATATATATATATATATATATATATATATATATATATATATATATATATAGTTCGCGGCATCCGGTTTTGAATTTGCCTGTCGCTTTGGCCAGATACAGGACGCTTGCGTTTACAGAAAGACCATGGAAGGCCTGCGCTGCACCACCCACAGCTCCAACCACCCACTACATTTCCAGTGTAAACCAGAAGGAATAAGACCGGAAAGTATGTCGATGGGAGCCTCGTTTCAGCAACGGAGCCGGCCCATACTCCTTCACAGGCAAACAGAAACACGCTGTATTTGGGGAATCAAGCGCACACAAGGCGGTGGCTGGACCGTAGTCCGCCCCACACTGAGTGCATGGAACCACTCTTCGAGCCTATACACAGCCACAATGATCGCGCGCCCCGCCCATTCCAGCAACGACAAACTGTCTCTTGGAGACAGTATAGACGAGGTAGTGGATAGTAGACAGGTAGGCACGTTGTCAACATGCACATCAAGCGTAGCCACACCGGGATATCAAGCAACAGCCAATCATTTGAGAGAAAGATAACCAAGAGAATAAATCGAGTAAAGCATAAGGAAACGATGGCACAAATCTTAAAGTAATGAGCATATGAAATGAGTTGTTTACAAAAGACTCGGAAAAAAGTTCACCAGGTTAGAAAGTATAGTGTACAGAAATACAACAAACGCGAAAATGTTATCGAAATTAACTACAATTGGCTTAGGCGAGTCGTGCGAGTTTATAGAAGACAGTACAAGTAGACATTTACATCAGAAAACATTACGACAAAATTGAAAACTCACCGCCTGAAATAAATAAACTTAGCATGTAAGCACGCGGTTAGTAAATCGAATGCAGCGTACCTACAAACATTGCGCCGGTTTTACCTACGTTCCCTACAGGACACGTCGTCTCTTCAGTAGTGGTCCCGAGTGTCCTCGCTCATGTCTAACTAGGCTTGCCTGACTCAGGCACTCGCGACCGCATGTGCAACAGCACCAATGCGCTCGATGTCGATGGAGTACAATCCATCGGCGCTGGCCACCTCCGCACTTGCAGCTTCTTCTCTACATGTATGAGGTCTTTCTCCGCACTTCGGCAACTGCTTTCGTGATTAGATAGCGCCATGCACTCCGATCAACCGCCTTCGATTCCCATGATCTGCAATCAAGATTAGAAAGTGAGAGGCTCACATTGATCATGTCTGGGTAACTTTGGTTTCCCCACAGGTCGCTTTCCAATACTCAGCTGACCGTATAAGAGTTGTTTCGGTATCCGCGTCGAATCCACACGCCACACATGACCGAACCTCCTCAGGTGTCTCAGCAAAAGTATGCAGTCCATTGCACACATCCCACTTTGTCTCAACACTTCTGTGTCGGCAACTCTGTCTCCCCAACCGATGCGCAAAATCCGTCGCAAAGACAGCTGATGGTACCGCTCGAGATATCGCACATCCCGACGGTACATCGTCCACGTTTCACTGCCGTATAGAAGAACGGACAGTACCATGGATTTGTACACCATCAGCTTCGTGCCAATGGTAAGCTGATGGTTGTTCCATACTCGGTACTCAGGCTTCCTGAATGCCGCCTTGCCTTCGACACGCAGATACGCTGCTCACTATGCATCTGCTGATCAGTCGACATCACACTCCTAAGGCAGCAGAAGTGGGAGGGGTTTCCAATACTTCAGCACCAATGCTGATTCGCGGCAATATTGAAGATTGCACATCCGGTGAAGGCTGAAAGAGACAGACAGTTTTGCTTGTGTTGATGGTGAGCCCGAATTTGGCCGCTGTCGAAGCCAAAGCATTAGTCATGTGCTGCAACTCATCCGCGCTGTGTGAAAACAACGCACAGTCGTCAGCAAACAGCAACATACGGATAGTTGTCTCACAGACTAGAGTTCTCGCACCGAAACGACGGATGTTCAGCAACCCACCATCAATAAGGTGCTCCACACGAACACCGTAAGCACAAGCCGCATCAAAAGCACAAGACAACATTGCATGAAGATAGATATTAAACATGGCAGAAGCTAACACACAGCCTTGCTTCACACCAGAGACAACTGTAAAGTCATCCGAGGTCTCTCCACTCAGCTGCACCCTCGCTCGCATACCACTGTGCAGGCATTCAATTAAACTTACAAACTTACGCGGACAACCAAACTTACCCAACACCAGACACAATGCCCCGCGGTTCACTGTATCAAATGCCTTGGTGAAATCAACAAACAGCGAGTACAACGGCTGGTGTGGTTCTCTGCACTTCTCCTGCAACTGACGAGCTGCAAACACCATATCTATAGTACTGCGACCCGAGCGGAATCCACACTGCTCTTCCGCCACGTTAGGTTCCACAACCTGACTGACGAGGCGGTTGAGCAGGAATCCGGCAATCACCTTGCCCACACAACTCAGCAAGTTGATGCCACGATAATTCGTGAAACACTGATTGGTAACATTGCCATTGTACAGTGGTAGCACAAGGGCAGACTTCAGTTCAGGAGGCACCACCTCCTCAATCCATACACGTCGCACCAAGTGGTGCAGTGCAGTCAAAAACGAGGGTCCGCCTAGTTTCAATACTTCAGACAGAATACCGTCGGCCCCAGCACAATTGCCGTTTCGCAGCTGAGCAAGTGCTCTCTGCGTCTCATCCAGTGTCCGCGTGTCCATCAGACTTGTTTTCACATTGTGCTGCTTGAGGCAGGTCAATGTAGGCCAGTCGATCTCTGAACGGTTGTAAAAGAAACAGCCAGATCTGCATTATGTCCGCAGTCTGTGCGCAGGTAGCGCCTGAACTACCATCGATAAGTGTCCTCAGCGGCTCCAATCTCGGTCCATACACCGCCTTCAAAGAGTCAAAGAATTTCTTGTGTTGGCGGCGTTCGGCGTAGCATTCCATCTGCTTCGCCTTCTCCGTCCACCATGGATTTTTAATGCGACGGAGCTCGCGGGTCAGTCGTCGTCGCATTCGCAAAACTTTGCACTTTTCCCAGAATCACTGGGGTATGCCACATGTGCAGCAAATGTTGCATTCTTCTCCGACACCAATGCGCCAATCGTCGCATTGTTGCCATCAAACCAAGCAAGTCGCTTAAAGTGTGCGCGCCCGATGGTCTCCTCGGCAGCAGCTGTCACCTGGTCGTGAATACGGTGCCACAGATCGCCCACTCTGGCTATGCAGTCCACATCACACACGCGTGCAACCATCGCCTTCTCCAACTCAATACGTTTCGCCTCACCACCGGGGGCGAGAATATTAAATTTACGCCGATTCACGGCGGGAGTGCAATACATAGGTTTACGAAAATATGTACTGTTTGGTGTGCACCAATTTATGCTCAGTGCCACACTCAGCTCCACGCAGTGCACGTGTCATGCGCACTTCACGCT